AACCGTCTCTTCTCTTGGGTAATTACAATTCATCCAAAGAGGTGACTCCCAGGGTAGAGAATTTAATCCAACACATAAGAGCCACAAACTGCAGTTCCTTAAACGGCCACTTGAGGCTTGCTCCAAAAGTGAGTCCATCTCATAGACGCCTTTATTAAAATGCCAAAATTTACAGAAGCATTAAAACTGTTCACAGCCTGGGACAAAATACAGTTTTGGTCTTCTTACGACCCTTAAATCTAAGACTGGTTTGTAAGGAGGTTGCTACTAAGGTTTGTACTTGGGACAAAAGGCGCGAAAAACAAGCATACTGCCAGATCCATCAACCAGAACATTTCACTGAACAGACATGAGATGTGACAGTCAGGATCCAAGGAGAGAGAGTGATCAGGCCTCCTAATGTCAACTTCAATTATCACCCCAACCTCACATACCTGAGCGAGAGAAAACAACAGCAATGAGTTTAACAGGTAAACATAGACACATTATGACCAGCAGAGGGCGACAAACGTAACCGATTAGAGTAGATTTTTGAATAAAATGAAGGCCTAACAGGAAATGGTAATAACAGTCACACATTTTCAACCTGTTAAAAGTTCCTCATGTTTTTATTTAAGGACATTTACGCAGCCTAGAAATGCAAGACGGTGCTGCTAGCTGTCTACCAGATGTAAACTGAGCCAATTGAAATAACCAAACTCAACATCTTTGGTATTTGTCGTCAGCCCAAATACTGTCCCTTCTGGCTACAAGAAACCACGATGGGGACTCTTTGAATCTTATTCCATGAACCAGTAGATGATGTAACGGTGACTATGTCCATTTTTTAGATACAGTCATCCTAAGAGGGAAAGTAATGACTGAAATTTCATACCAATCCATTCAGTAGTTGAGTCATGCCACTAAAACCACAACGTCACTACGACATCAGTGTTGGAGGAATTGTTACCCAGTACTCATGAGTCAGAATATGTATCATGGCTATCCATTCAAGGGTCAATGCATGGATTGGTTGGTTTCTTTCTGGACCATATTGTTGAGTCCTAGAAGACATTCAATCAGCTACTATTACCAGTGAAACTATCTTTCAAAATCAAACTAACAAAACAAAATAGCTGATTTTTACATCTCTAGGCGATGCATAACCATAGCACGGTCTCCTGTAAGTTTCCTTTCTGGTCTCAACCAACTCTGAGGTATTTTTGGATTGTTGGACAACTTTTCCGAACATGTGTAAGACATTTTTGCTCCACAGTTACAGATTTCTTGGATGGATTTTCTTTCTTTCACCACTTAGATTACTGAATTCTTTTGTAGCATTTACAGAACAAATAATATTTTTATAACTCTTTCCTGCTGTTTTTGCGTTTGCGAATCAACAAGGAAACCATTGCTCTTTCCTACATACCATCACATAGCAAAACAATATTCATCCAGACTGAATGAGGGTCATTGTACAGAACTTTGGGGGGGTTTCTTCCGAAGTGTCCGCTAGACGTAAGAGTGATACATTACTGTCTGAGAGCTCTAAAACATCTGTCTGCTCTGGAAAAATGTTTAAACCTACTGGCTCTTCTGGCTTGGATTGGCAGATGCTGCATGATTTGACAATGACTGATACTGCCTCAGTTCTTGATGTTATTTCTTGGCTAAATCTTTAATGAAGTATGTCTTTGTAGATCAAGTCAAAAGCTGTTTAAAAACAGATCAAATTAACCCTGACATCCCTCATTTAGTGGTTTGTGGGATGACGTTTTGAAACCTCAAATTTGTCTCCATCTTGTTTTCTTGAGCACGAAAAGACCATATTTACATGAGAGGGTGGAGCTTAAGGGGAGTGAGTGGTACAGCTAAGTAATCAGCTAATGCTAGAGCTAGCCAGGTTAGCTAGGTGTCCAAAAACATTCCTGGTAACTATGATAATTAGAGAATCTAAAATCTACAAATTGAGAAAAGGAACTGATGGCTTTTTTACGTCGTTGGTTTTCAACCAAGTGCTAAACGGCATTTCACAGGTTACTTTGATAGCGTCTTGGCTATCACAGGAAGCCATGCCCTAAAGCTAACCTCTACTTTATTGTCCATTTAACTCATTATGGAACCAAAATGAACATAATCCATGTTTTGTAGAACATCTAAAACTATCTATGGAGATCACAAAGTATGCAGATAAATGCTAACCGAGGGAATGAATCAGATTGAAAGTCCATTTATTTTCTCTTATATAATGGACCACCTTTTTTGAAACAGGTGAAGTACTACCTTAGGGACATCTAAGTGTGCAATATTCAAGTTCAAGAAATATTGCCTTACAGACGTATCCTATCCTATCCTAGTCTAGCCTAGCCTATTTTCACCTTCTAGATCCAGTCTACTGTTGTTGTTAGAAGCCCAGGAGGCCTTGTCCTGGCAGCAGAAGCCAGGCTCTTGAGTAGACAGAGCTCCCCCAACCTACAGCGGGGTGATCGGGTACTACTACCACCCAATGTCCCTGACGCCCAGCCACAACTGTTGAACTGTGTCGCCCCCACAACCTATGCCGTCCTCATTCCTGCACAGCCTGCTCCGACCTCCACCTCAGCGGCAAGGAAGTGTGGACAACAGGAACAAGAGGAATACAAAGGAGAAATCCTTTCAGTAGCTTACCCCATCTCCCCCTATCCAGATTTTTCTTTTGTAACATAACAACTAGTAAGGTCTTTTACCTGCTCTTTGTAAAGTGTTTCGAGATAAGAATATGTAACGAATTGGCGCTAAACAAATAATGATTGATGAATATTGAAAGTCCACTTCTTACACCCAATTAGCTAGGCAAACAGATTCTTTGTTAAATGTTCCCCATCAATTTTCTTACCATCAGAATTTCCTTAACACAGAAAGGCTTCTTCATCCAATATAATACCTCACATAGTACTTCATAAATCCATGTTTGTTACGTACAAATCATCAAAGCAGCCGCAGCAAAAGACAGATCTTTTTCCAAACAAGTTTACTTCAAAGTGGAGCTTTTTGCAATCCTTTCAGTCTGTGTCATTCTTGGAGAGCTTGGAAAACACATGGAGCCGCGGCCAGGAAAGCATAGTTGACGGAGAACTTTGAAATTGATGCTTTTGCAGTACATCTACTACCCGTCTAGCCACCTGGAGCCCACCTGCCGGGGGGCTGGACGCACATACTTTCCTTTTCTCTATCTTTCTGTCTGTCTCAATCTATTTATAACTCTTCACTGGAAGTCTGTGCTGCCCACCCAGCTCTGTGAGAACAAGCTGATGTTGAAATTCAGGAATCTAGTGTTACATTTGATGGAACTTGTTTCAGCGTGAATGGCTTACTTTCTGTTTGAGTGACTGCAGGTTTTTTTTCTTGAAGTGTTTAGATAAATGACGGCATCCTTGAAAAATCCTGCACGTAGAATAAATATTTAGATTTTGTTTAAAATGAAGTCATTGTCTTTAAACGATTTACCCAAACAATATGCTGGATTGCAATGTCCATCTTTGTGATGGATAAGCACTAAATTTCCTCTAGCCCCACCACGATGTTGACATTTCAGGTTTCAGTTTCATGTCTTGACAGAACTTGATGAATTGCCATGAACGTTGTTTCAGATATCAATGGGCATTTGGGATCATACCGCTGACTTAAAGGTCCAGTATGGAAGATGCTGAATCCAAAATTATTTAAAAAAAGAATATAAAAATTATTTGATGTTTTCTGGATTGTATAATAAACTGAAAATAAGTATTTTGGTAACTTTACATTGCTCTCAATATGTACAAACTGAACCAGAGTCCCCTTGGTGGAACCCCCTTGTTTCTACAGAAGCCCAGGCAAACCAAACACAAGCAGTTGATCATATCTTCAGGTTTTTCACAAGTCTTGAGGCAAATGTAAGTCGCCATACGCTCATTTCAAGGTTCATAATTTACAATTTAAAACACATTTAATTTCTCTGACCCTGCATGGTGTCTGTGAAAACCTTCAGTTCAGCTTCGTTCTGACTAAATGGATTTCAGGTACTGTCTTGAGCATCGAACGGAGCAATCACACCAGTCCAACAAACTGGACTTTAGGGGTCAAAGTTGCTCGGGCGCCGTACAGATTGTCCAGTGTGAGTGTGCCTTAATAGATGTAAAGCTCTAGCGACCAAAGCCATTGTCCTATAACCATGTTTATTTTTGCAATATTTTATTATGGGACCTAATTGGGATTCCTTGGCTTTTGCAGCCAGCCTCAAGTGGACAATCGAGGAACTGCAGTTTTTGCCCTGTAGCCTCATGTTTCAGCACTTTTAAATGGCCACTATGATTTTTGGTATTTGTTGAATAGATGTAAAAACTACTTGGTTAGCTTTGGGATCTATGAGCTAGATTTTGGTAGTGAAGGGGGTGTGTTTGTTGTAAATGTTGTAAGACTTGTTGTAAGACCCCCCCCCCCCTTTCAGGCTTCTATTTCAATTCTCATCAGAGGAAAAAAAGCTTTAGCTCTCACAATAAAGAGATCACGCTGATTCATGTTCATCAGACGTGCTGCCTTTACTCCATGAAAGCCACAGAGACAAGAAGTGTTTCCTGTCTTCTAAGTCACGCTAAAGTTAAACATTATGGTTTCAGAAAGTATTTTAGGTTCCAGGAGGAAATATTGTTGCAATATCTGATCTATATCTGTGCTTTCAAAGGATCAGCTCCTATAAGAAACTGACCGTACAGAGAGCCTGTGAAAACATCAGCAAGTTTAAAAATCTCATCGACTTAAATCTGAATCGTTTCCCACAAAGCCCCATGGAGGTTGTCTAACTTACAGACAACTGAGCTAATGTATTTTTCTCCGCTCAGTTCGTGTTAAGCTGTGTAAACTTAGAGCGCCACAAGACTGGAAAGAGAGGGAGGAGGAAAAAAAAGAGCGGAAAGACAGGGGGGTGGAGGTGTGTGTGTGTGTGTGTGTGTGTGTGTGTGTGTGTGTCTGGAAGTGGAAATGGGCAGCAGGGAGGAGGAATGTGAAACATTTCTGATGCTGGTCCTGTGCCTGTTTACACGGCAGTCAGCCTTGTGACATCACAGTCCAGACTTTATAAATGTCAGCGGGCGAAAGAATGAGCAGCGAGCAAACAGCTGCACCGTCACAGAGGTTAGAGAGAGACACACCGAGCTCCGTCAGCAACACCAGCCCCCATGGACCGCCTGCTGTGTGCCTGTGTGAGAGCTCTGGCTGTACTACTGTGCCTGGCTGCACAGGTGAGGCCTCTCGCTTACTTAACAATCATCTGATGATCTTAATTCAGGTGCTGTTTTCATGAATGAGAGTCTAGTTGAGGATGCTCAAATAATGATTTCCTGTGATTTTTATGGGCAAAGTTTCAGTCTGGTTAATTTCTTTATGGGTTAAAGATATTTAAATGATGGAATCTGAAATATCATCTTGTGTTGTCTGAATCTGAACTAAAGAAGACTTATGACGTTTAGCATAATGTATGGACATAAATAAGTCAGACAGAAAGTAAAAGTTATGCAATGTGATTAATTTGAACTTTTCACTTTATAGTCTAAATCTAAATTGTTTTAGTGATTCAATTACAAGTTTATTTGTTAATCAGGAGTCTGAAAAATGTGTGAAAAATTATCATTTCAGTTGACTAATGCCCAAAGAGATGAACTTAGCTTCTAACTTGAAGCAGATTTATTTCCTGCATAAGAAAAAAGTCACAATAATTAATAATTCAGATGTCTTTACTACAAATAAATTACTGCTACTACTACATATTTGGATGAACTCTTATTCCACCATATTTTCTGCATATTCAAGGATGACCTTTTTCTCTTCCTTACAATCCACCTTGTTATTTTTCTCTTTAGTTTAAAGCTTTTTAAAGGGAAATCTTCTGTATGATGTGTGTTAAATTTGCAGAGTATGTTTGTGAGCATGGGCGTATTACTGGGGGGAAACATGGTGACTCTTATTGGCTCCTCTCTTACTGTAGCTATTAATGTAGAGGGAACATTGGTCGAATAAATGAACACAACTCTTAACTTTTAAAATCTTTTTTTTTTGTAAAGAAACCTTTAAGATGCTTAAAAACCTTGTTCATAAAGATGTATACATTACACAGTAAAATTAATTTTTATTGTTTAATTAAAATGCAATAGTTTTTTAAGTGGTAAATGGACTTGAGCTTTTATAGCGCTACCAGTTCACACCCTGATGGCAGTGTAAAGTGTCCATCAGAAGTAACTAATCCCATACATACACATTCATACACCACCAAAGCTATAGTTATTGAGAGTAGAACAATAGCAGAATTTTCAGCTTCAGCACAATACTAGTTTCGTTACCATGGCAACAAAAGTAGAAGTCCTAGACACACAATACAAGGTCATTTCTTGTTTAATTCATTATAAATTGCAAGCAAACTCCTGAAAAACAGTTGCAATGTTTCGATACCAAAACGTTGCCAATGTTTTCTTGAAATTAAGACCGTGTTCAGGAATTTGCCTGCAATTTCTGATGGCTTCATTCCTCTCCTTAGCAGCTGTCTGATGATCATTAGAAAGACAGATTATGTCTTATTAAGATGTGGTGGAGGGGCCCGATGTGATATCTTTTTGTTGGGCCCAGGTATCCTGGCAACGCTCCTGTTTGTGAGAAACAATTGCTGGTCTGTGTTTCTTGACAGTTTAATAAAACAATGAAAGGAATCTTCTGCTACAGACACTCTGGACTCGTTCAGATCTGGCTTCGTGTTTTGGCTCCACCAGATTCATGTAATTAGGAACAGTGGTTTGGCCCGACAGCGCTGGATTTTGGCCTACAGTTTCTGAAAATACCAAAAATATTTTCTCTCGTTCTCATGTGAAAATATAGTCTTGGAGAGCACAACTTGGAGGATTCTGATAAACATAGCAGCAATAGACTTTTCATTTATGGGGTTTCACAAAAAGACAGGAAAATTAAAATAGAAAAGTCTCAAATTCATCATCTATAACTCAAACTATATATTCAAACAGTGCAGGGAAGAAGGACTCAAATAAAATCATGGAAAGGCTTTTTGATTGAAGTGTGTTTTCAGAAGGGTAGCTGTGTGTAACCATGGTTACGATCATCCTGTAACATGTGTTCTGTCCCTACAGGAGG